GCATTTAACCAGTCTGCCATAAGTTRAAATCTCTTGAAAAGTCGTACTCTATTTGTGTGTAGTAAAATAAAGCAAACTGGAAAAGGAGAGGGAAGTCGAGGCTATCTCATAAAAATCTGGTTTTCAGCACCAGAGAATTCTTTGCATCCAAAAACTGCTTTCCTTTTGCAGTGCATATAATTGCTGGTTAGGAAATTCCTGTTTACTAAGATTGGCAGAAAATTGAAGACTGAATTTGACTGAAACCTAACCCTTTATTTAAAGCGTCAGTCAACATCTTGTTAGGTAGCCTTGATCTCCGGCCATATCTCTCGGCCCAGTTTCYTTTGGGTTATTTTACCAAGTGTAATGAATGTCAAAAATGTCTTGGTCTCTTTCTTTAAAAAGAAGAAAATAATAAACGCTGGTTAATTTCATCTTTATTTCTTAAGTGGTCATTGGAAGTAGCCTTTCTCATGCTAATTTTTCGTGCATTTTATCTGGTGAGGGTGATAGGTGAAAGGGTGAAAATGTTAAACAAACTTTCCAGGTATATAACAGTTAGTTAAAAAGAACACGTCATTGCAACTRCAGGTTTTGTTAGTCTACTTACCTGGCCAAATACACAAACCTAAAACACAAGTGTATAAAGAAAATTATCCATTGTTAGTATCGTCAAAGTGAAATACGCTAACAGCAAACTTRTTTTAGTGCAATATGCAAAACATCTTGTGGATTTTGGTGGAAATTACTATTTTCTTCAGCAGATGTCCTGAAGGTGAGAGAACTCTTTAGACAAGCTTTTCTTGTAGACACTAAAAAGATCTATATAAATTAAAATAGAGGGTATCTGATCATTGTTAGCTGTCTGCTTGTATCTAGCTTCTATATACCCCAAAGTCTATACTCGCTGCTTTAATGTTCCCCACAAGGCTTTTTCCCCAATTAAACGAACGCTCATTACCCCCAACCACCTACTCAGCTCCTCAGGTGATCTTCATTTAAAATTCCCYTTGCGGTACGTCGGAATGCATCTCAATTTGAAGGACATAACAGTAGGTTTACATTTCTCAGGAGATTGAAATTCTTTTGTTTTGTCCTCCAAATTGAGCTGCTTTGACGTCACATACAAGGGCTCTATGAGAAAATCAACGAAGAAAACCAAAGTTACTTGTTTTCATTTTGTTTCTTTTTCTATTATTTTGCAAACTGTGGGCAACCAAAATTCAAATGGTTTCAGCTTGTATATAAGTCACTATCCCGAAAAATAATAATGATGAATCTGCTTAATTTCAAACCAGCGGTAAACATCGATGAGGACGTGTTAGACTGGAACAAGTATGACGTCATACTTCCCCAWAAACTAACTCCTGGTGCTAAACGAAGTAATATCGCAGGGGATTTGTCAACCAAGGCTGATGTAARATTATTGGGTCGGTGTCCACTGGTAGAACGAAGCTTTGGATTGGGCAAAATAACAAAAACAAAGAAAGCATGGATTATGGTGAACAATGTGTATTGTTCTACATGTGAGCTGCGTTCTTTGTTTTATCTTACCATTCATTGTTTGTTCATCCACTCCCAGGCTTCGTTCTGCCTGTTGTGTGTTACCYGGRTTATTACAAATTGTTGATAAATATTATATTGTTACAAACAATGAGTAATAAACCTTGGATTTTTTTCAGGGCATTCATGAAAAGAAGGCACAGTTTATTGTTGAAGCTTTTGGAAAGAAACACATCATCAGCTTGGTCCAAAATCAGTAAGAATGAACATCATATATAAAACAAATTGTTATATGATTTCAGTTTCGTATAGGTACCAAGTTGCAGAGACATTTGCCATAAATTAGCTATTCCGAGGTCGAGTTGAATTTCCAGTACATTTTGGGGCTTTTTTAAATTAGGAGACAAAATAGCCGCCATCTTGGAAATATGTCGCCTAGAAGAGTACCACAATGCAATGCAATGCCAACTCGGCCCAGTCTTTTCCTCAACCTCGGAACGGCTAATACCGCCATCTTGGAAATATGTCGCCTAAAAGAGTACCACAATGCAATGCAATGCCAACTCGGCCCAGTCTTTTCCTCAACCTCGGAACGTCTAATACCGCCATCTTGGAAATATGTCGCCTAAAAGAGTACCACAATGCAATGCAATGCCAACTCGGCCCAGTCTTTTCCTCAACCTCGGAACGGCCAATATCACTATATTTCAAAGTTGTTAGTAATTTTACGAGGCGCAGACTTGCTCGTCAAAGCAAATGAGGACTAGTATCTAAGCAGCCGATCATTGCCTGGTATCTTCAATGATCTTGGAGCAAAATTCATGAATTAAATGTTCATCTTTCAGGCTTCTGATTTCTCCGGAGCTTCTCCTGCGCTCATTCAAGAAAGATGGCAGCGAAGTAATAAAAAAGGTAAAATAAAGCTACCTAGACATCTCCAGACGCCACATGGTTACTTTGGTGTATCAAACCTATATAACATTAAGAAGATATAACTAACTAAAAACTAGTGTGAGCTGCGTCGTTGTTTCTAATAATGAAACAGCAATGATAAAAAGGTAAATTATACACCTCTTTTACTCCGACGAAGGACTGGCGTCCGAAACGTCAGTATTTTTCCCCCATCTTTTCTCGGTGTATAATTTACCTTTTTATCATTACTATATAACATTATGGATATTTAGTACATGAGTTCATTCAACATTGCGATTATGAAGTCACAAGCGCTCTAAGAATAAATATATAATTGTCATTATCATGCGTGACCCATTTCTTTTGATACCCAATAAAATAAATAACTCGTCGGAATTTGAACAATGAAAAACAATTAAAAAACTAAAACAGCATAACAAAGAATCAACTGATCATTATTCAAAATCGTTTTCTAAGRTCCCGTCCACACTATGCCGGATAAATTTGAATCCAAATTTTTCAAACCGAAACCGAAAAAACGTTTTCCGTACATTAATACGGCTAGCCGGCGTTTTCAAATTGTTCCACTCTGGAGACCGTATTCGAAAAAATTCGTTTTCGGTGAAGAATTGTTCCGGATTCGACCGGACTAGTGTGGACGGTAGGCCTAACCGAACAAATAAAAATTCGGATTCAAATTTATCCGGCATTGTGTGGACGGGGCCTAAGAATCCCTCGTTCTTTGTACACTACTGCGAGCTTTGAGATCCATAATGACATGGTATCAATATTTTTTGATTKGCAGATTGCTCCTGAGAACTGCTATTATCAAGGGAAGGTTGATGGGAAGGATGAGTCGATGGTAACGCTCAACACCTGTCATGGCTTGAAGTAAGACAACTGAAATTTCATTTTTGGTTATACCGTCCATATTGCTTATCGTGTGTTCTCAATCGTAGGGGATTTATTGACGATGGGGAAGCACGAATCTATATTGAACCACACGATGAACGCGTAAGAAAAACTAATTTATTCCTTAACCGGAGAAATAATGATGGAGCAAGATTTATCAGACAGCTATTCAAATATAGCAAACCCGAGTTTTCGGATCAATATTGCTTCATAAATGCAATGCTCATTCATATTTCACCAAGGACCGCAAAGCACCCTAAAACAAGGGGAGAGGGAGGGAGGGCTTAGCTTGAAAAATACAATAGTTTGGGACTGGAACTCAAAAATTATGGAATAYTGGCAAAAAGAGGGGAGGCCAAATTCCCCGGACCTTCCCTCTCCGYGGTCCCTGCTGAGTCAGTCTCCTGATCAAGATAGAATATTGAACACTTAACGTTATCGAAGAATATCCGGTGAAGTACTGTTTATTGATTTCCAGCCTGATGGCGCTCATAAAGTTTATGAAGTCAAGCAGAAGTCTGGGCACCAAGAAAGARCTTGCGGTGAGGATAATAATAATGDGAGGTTCAATTAATCAAAGGGAACCGTGACCTTTATCAYACGGYGCCGCGTTTATTCTCGTATTCCTCTTAACCTCATTCTGAAGCACTTGAATGCGAGGCTACGCGGAGAGAAATCTATTGTTCCTGTCAACATGGCTGCCGCGTGAGCAAGGTCCATAGTGTTGTAGGCAGGAATAATACAATATTCCAGCGACAAGGAAAATTGAAAATCTGATATTCCCAACTTCATTCTTTAAGGACACTCTTATCATGGATATGGCAAAGAAGCCCACAACTCAAGCTGGTCACGTGATGGAAAGTCACGTGTTAGGGTAAGATTTTGAAATCAAATGAAATTGATTTCTAGTTCTATTGAGAAGAAGTAGTGATTGTTCGACGTTCGGTCGGTCTAGCATTGTCGARCTTCTAAGATAACTTTTCCAAGAAGGATGTGTTTTGTATTCCGAGTCAAGAATTCTTGGGGTGCATGTTACGTCATAACCGCCATGTTTGTTGGATATAACCAAGTATTCCTCATGTTGTTAGATCAATCTACATGGCGGCTGTTTCTTTTTCTTTTTTCTTTTCTCTCAAGGGATTTTGCATGCTTGCGCCCCATGAATTGCCAAATGAGGACGTTATTATTTAGGATTATTCCCCACCACTCCTGATTTTCTGATGAGGTGGCTATACCTTTAACTGAGTAAAGTATAAATACTTTTAATTAGGAACGCCGCGAGATTGATGAGTTTTAYCGCAAGTACCTCACGACAACCGAGACCAGATACGTGGAACTTGTTYTGGTCGCAGATAATGCTTTAGTAAGTACAACAACGTTCTCTCTTTTCATCTCCTCTTCAACGTTAATTGTCGCGATTGATATTTTTGTCTAATTGATAACAGTTTAGTAASTTTGTCAATCAATTGCTTTGCAGTTGCCATTGTAATTATGCATACCATGCTCCTTAAGAGAAACTGCGTATTTCCATTTCCTTTAMATTACCGTCACAGTAATATTAGTATTTTTTTTATTGAAAGTACAAAAATTTTGGCAGCAACATCGAGGGCCTAACAGAAAGACTCATTACTCTTTCCAACGCAGTTGACGCGGTAAGTCGATCTGATATACTATAAGTTAAAGTCAAAATAAGAATGTACTTGAATGACGATATATTTTGCTTCCTTGCTTCCTTGCTTCCTTGCTTCCTTGCTTCCTTGCTTCCTTGCTTCCTTGCTTCCCTCCCTTCCTTCCTTGTTTTCCTTCCATGGTACTTATTCGGATCCTATTAACATTTTTAATGTCAAACTATTCATGCAGATATATAGTCGCATCAACATTAGGATAATTCTWGTTGGGGTGGAGATTTGGTCAGACAAGGACAAAGTTCCACGAAAAAGCGTCATGGCAGGACCACWGCTGGATGATTTTGTGACGTATAAAAAATATGTGTTAAGGAAAACATTTGTTGGACATGACAATGCACAGTTGATATGGTGAGTCACAGAACACAGCTACCACAGAACACAGCTACCACATTTCATTACGACATAGTTAATAGAGTGGAATGGTTTGGAAGCCTATTGTGCTAGGTTTTTGTTCGACTTTATCCATTGTTATATGAAGCTGACCGTGAACAGAGAAGGAAACGTTGCAAAAAAATTCCGATTTAGAACCCTACGTTTTGGCATCTAGAACTTTAGGAAATCCTAAAACTCTATTCCCTTACATAGAACTATTTTACAAAATTGCTGTTTTTCAAAGCTGCTTTTTTTAAACATAAAGAAAGATGTTACTAATAGGCGACTTTGATGTCAACCAAAATGGCGGCCTTGCCTGGTTTCATTCATTGCCAATAATTGCAAACCAACTGCTTAACTATCAATATAAAAACTTTGTTCCGGAGATCGGCTAGTATCTATATCTGTATAATTACTTTTTGCCAAGAGTAGTTAAGGTGGTCTATACGATCAAACCAAGATTGTGTAAAACCTTTTACACTACAATATATATCCGATTTACACCGAATTGAAAAATGGCGAGCATTTTGAATAACTTTATTATTCTCCACTGACTAGCGACTAACTAGCCTCGTGTTCAAGCGGAAACATAAAAGTATTTTCCCATGTATGAGAGGCTAGTCAGTCGCTGGTCAGGGCGGAACAATAGTTATTCAAATTGGTCGTCATATTTCGATTTGGTGTATATATGTAAGTTATAAATGTATGTTTGTTGTATAGTAATGATGGATGGAAAAAATTTGCTGGCCTGGCTAGCCTCTTCGTCATGTGTAAATCCACTTCATCTTCAATAATTTCAGTAAGTTACTCCTATCAGATTATCATTCATAAACGATAACCAACTGAATTTCATAAAATGTCCTTTTAGCTTTATGAGTATGTAGTAATAATAGAATCAATAGTATATTACTGCTCTTAGCATTGCGCAATACTTTATTAAAAGTTAATTAATATATTATTGATAGTCATTGTGAAATTACAAGTCTATCCTCCATTCATTGATTGCGCAATACTTTATTAATACTTTATTAATATATTATTGATATTAATAACAGTGGAATCATGAATCTATCGTCGGGCCATGGATTACGTCTGCGCACGAAATGGGACATAATTTTGGAATGGACCACGATGAAGGTAACTTGCAAAAACACATTTCATTTCTACTCAAAACCTAATTTTTAAATATCAAATCAGTTTTATAAATATTCTCGTACTCAGACCCTTCTCACCAAAACATCGAGGGCTCTCTGGTAACACATAAACCGGAAGAACCAGATTCTAAGTCGTCAGATATGCGCATGCTCCACATATTCTCACTTCCGGTATAAATTCAAACCGTTTTTTTCCTTCAAAAGAAAAACAATCAAGCTTATTTATGCATTGTTTATGGAACAGTTGTTTTTGTCTGTGCTTAACATCCAGAAAAATAAGCAATTTAGCGAGACCCTAGATGGGTACGGTAAAGTATTCAAATTTTAACCGTTGACTGTAAGATCAGCGAACCGGATACAGATGATTATGCAAAGAAATTAAACCAATGAAATTAAACCAGAGCCTTCAATTTTTCGTTAGAAAGCTGAGAAGGTTTTGGGTACGAGAATGTTTTATAACTTGTATCGCAGAGATTGGTCATTGCACTTGTTTAACGCCTCGAGGATGCATAATGGGAGGACACAAGTAAGTATAAAATTTCTAATAAAATCATTTTATGATTTAGTTTAGAACTATTCTTAAGTGGATATATAACCTTGCTTATAAAATAACTGTTATGAATGTCGCGTTCTGATTAGCTTGGAGCGCGTGCTCTTATGAGAGCACATTGCACACGCGCGCACTTTCCGTTGCGTCATTCCTATCCATTATTGTAATTTGTATTTCATAAAAGAAATAAAAAACTTGCTTGCTGTGCTGTGTGCAGTCATATAGCACTTGGGGATTGGAAGAACACTCGAGAAGTGTCCAGAAGCACTCCGCTGCGCGTCGTGCTCCTCCTAATACTTATCTCGTGTTCTGCCAACCCCCGGGTGCTTTATGACTGTACACAGCACGCGCGCGCGTTTTCTATTTCTTCAATATTTGATAAGGTACCAGAATTTAAAATTTGATTTTGCGGAAAGATAAACGGGTGAGAACCTTCACGGGTGGATCACGGATGAGAGATTGAACATACAACCACAGTGGTGATGATATCTAGAGAAGGCGCATTTTCAATGGATCAAGAAGTAAAGTCACATTTGTTATTGCTTGCCTTTGTTGTTAGGACGCGCATTGCAGGATTCTCTGACTGCAGTCTTGAGGCTTTGCAAAAGCTGGATGATTTCTGCTTGTATGACCTTCCCTCCAAGGTACGTAGGATGTCTTGATCGACGTAAGTAGCTGGGCTTTGTATTTTGTATATCACAAAGTAATGCTCAACATAAGGTGCGCAGACAATCAAAACAAAACTAAGGGGAAAACGTTCTTGCAGGAACTAAAGCCGAAGTGTGGGAATGGAATTTTGGAAGACGGCGAGGAATGCGACTGTGGGAATGAACAGGTAATAATTTATAAATATTAGCTAAATATTAATTAATATTTCTATAAACGATGATCAATATATATATACATAATCAGCCAGTTTTCGTACTTAACACCGTCTTCATTCCATTTAAACAGAAATGCAAGGAAAGCGACCCTTGTTGTGAACCAACTGGATGCAAGCTGAGACAAGGAAGCCAGTGTAGTGATTTCAACCATGGTTGTTGTAAAGACTGCTTGGTATGGACGTCACTGGAAATAGATCTTTTAATAAAATATTAAAATCCTAATGTTGCTTTCGTTCTTTATGCAGTTCAAACCTCAATTCGAGCTGTGTCGTGCCTCTCAAAGTCATTGTGATGTCCCTGAGTACTGTACGGGAGTCTCTGGCGAGGTACTGTAATATACTCTTTAGTCATCTTTGCTCTGCTTTGAATATAAAAGCACCTCTTGAAATGACGCTAAGTTGGAGGTCGTCCGGGGCAGTATTTTTAACGAGTTGATGAATTTGCAGTTAGTAGGTTGTATTGTATTAACGAATACCTATTTTCATATCACTAGTGCCCCAAAAATGAATTTCGTCGCAATGGAGAGCCGTGCAACAGTGAAAAACAGGTACAAGGCTTTACCTTAAAATTGAATTAAATCTAAGACATGTCGACGTAACAGGAGGACATTTTAGAGGCCTGACTGATGACGATGACGATGACGATGACGATGACGATGACGATGACGATGACGATGACGATGACGATGACGATGACGATGACGATGACGATGACGATGACGAT